ATTTTCTAACGCAGTGCAAATCTTATTGACAGGATTGATATTAGAATTAGTTAAGGCCCTAAATCATGTTCTCTAGGTGAATATGCGAAGTCGATGGTCAGAGATGGTTCATAGGAATAGAGCATGGCAAATAAACATTTAGACCCTATAGGCATGTTTTCTACTCATTCATGCAATAATTAAAGTACCCCAGTCCCCACTTTCACTAATTTCCCCATTATTCATTTTTTATAAGTTATTACAGACCAAATGGAATAAAATACAGGCCCAAACATAAATATTGAAAGAAACTAAGGGTTCACCAAACAATATAGAGAACCTCAATTCCCAATATAAACAACAGTAAATAAAGAACACACAATATTTACGTGAAAAACTCCCAGCTCATGGGATTAAAAACCATGACCTATCCTAGTAGGATTTCAACTTCACTAACTGAGCAAACTTTATATGATGCAAGAGAGTGTCCGGTCTCTAGCAAGCTTCAATAGTGTTGTTGCACAATTGCGAGTACAGCACAGCAGCTTTAACACATGTAGAGTTGACTTGTACGACGATCGGAGGAACTGATCCCATCTGTTCTCTCTTATGTTCCCTTATCTGATTTCCTTGAGAATTAAACGAGACATCTAATTATTTATAATGAGCCCAAGGGAGCTAGCTGCATCAGGTTCCTTATCTGGTTCTTCCATGAAGTTTGACAAATCATCAAAACTAAAATCGCACAACTTATCAATTTCCTTTTTCCCCTTTTTGATGATGACAAACTTTGAATTGATATTCCCTTTTGAGAACCAGATTTCCACATGTCCCCCCTACGAACCAGACACCTCACCTTCCCTGCCTTTAAAGCATGACTAAAAACAAAATGCAAGAGTATAACATTGCATAAAATAGACAACGATGCTCATTAATTAAAGGAAAGAAGGAAAACAGAGTAGTAGCACCATAATTACACAAATATTACAATTCAAACAAAAACTAAAGTACCACAGTCAATAAGGAGAAGCAACAAAAAGACAAGATTAGAAGAGGACTGGCAAGGGTGTAAGATATGGGACACTGGATGGGGAACATGAAGGATTAGGGAGCAAGGGCCTTGATGAGGCTATCCATTCGAGCATTAGCAGCCCTTTGATCGTTGATCAGCTGCTCCTTCATGTTCTCCACTTGGTTCCTCAACTCAGCATTCTCAGCTTTCAGGCGGGCAATCTCTTAACTTTGAGCACTGCTGGAACCAGGTTCCTTGCTTGCCTAATTAAGCTTAGACTCAAGAATGACATTCTGTGCTTTTAGATGTTTAATCTCTTCATTTGCAGCCTCTTAAGAATCGATGAGCTGAAGGATAGTGGAGTTGCTTCCTATACCTCCCTTCTTGTCAACACACACACTCCTCCAAGGTATTCATTATGAACATTTGCTTTTGAGTCCCTACAGATGCTTTTCCCAAAGAAACCCCAAAGCGTTCAAGTACCTTAGTGAGGAGAAACCCATAGGGGAGACCATTGTTACCATCTTTGAAATCTACCACCTTATTCATATTCTCAATCATAATCCTAGGAAGATTGATAGAAGAGTATAAGTCTAGTGCTTCCAGAAAAAGTAGGTCTGCTTTGGAGGTAATAGACCTCCTCTTAGCCCTAGGTAGCAGCACTTTGTTCACCAATTCAAACAACAGTTGGTATTATGGTAGAAGTGCCTTCTTGTGCACTCTTTCTCCCATCTGAACAGCTCGCGACTTGATGATCAATTTCTTAAAATTAGGGGAACAGGTTCCCTTTACAGTTGACATCTCATCAGTAGGCACACCAAAAATCTCAAAAAGTAGAGCCTCATACATCACAAAGTCCTTCTCATTCACCTTAAAACAAATTGTATCCCCATCCACCACAAACATGTCAGCATAAAAGCTTCTCACCTCCTCTTCATACACTTTTGGACTCTTGATGTCAAAGAGATGAGTCCGCTTTTGGAATTTACAAATCTCCACCAGCTGCCTCATGCCTTGATCTATCAAGGATCTCAGAATCAAACACTCTACCCCACAGAACCTTTTGCTTCTTTAGATTTTCCCTCCTCTCTAACTTTGATAATTCTACCCTTGGCTTTTTGGAGGAACTAGGTTCCTCACTAGTACTCTGCTCTTTTTGAGAGGCATTTTCTTCTTTACTCTCTCCTTCTCCAATCTTTCTTCCTCCTCAACCTCCTCATCTTTGTCCTTCTTCTGCTTCACATATATTGATTTCTTTGAGGTTTTCCTGACGAGAGGAGCAGGTTCTTTAACGGTCTCCTCATCATCAACCTCCACCACATCAATTAGCTGACTTTTTACAAGCCTCGTTCTCTTATTTTTCTCCTTATTCACTTTCAAGGCACTGTTAAGTGCCGCCTTTTTCTACTGCCTAGTGGTGGGGCGCTTTGGAACAGAATCCTTTATGGCCTTCCTACCACTCCTAGCAACTATCAACTATGCTACAATCAAATCATCAAGGTCATCCTCAGTATCATCAGATTCACCCTCAAACACTGACTTCATTTCAAGGTAAAAAACTTCCAACGAAACTATAACAGGGTGATCAAATAGGGTAGGGTCAGCAGTATCCAGGGGCTGTCTTGTAGAATTAGGAGTTTCATCCCAAGTAGGAGCAAAAAACTCCTCTTGGGAAGCAAAACTAGGTCCCTCTCTAAGCTCCCCTGTAGTACTGACCGATACTTGTTCCCTTTGAAGCACCTGGACCCCATTAGCCTATTTTTCTCCCTGACCCATTGGTTCCCCCTGAGTCTCACCACCAGCACCATCGGTAAAAGATTCCCCAGCCAACCTCTCTATAGCATCAGGCTCTTTTTTTCAGAAAAATTAGAGCCTGCTTTAAGTACCTTACCCGTATCCCTGTCACCCTCAGTACCCAAGACTTTTGTATCAAGAGGACAATATGGAAGATTACCTGAGGCACAGACAACCCCTTCAGTACTTTGAAACTAAAGGTTTTAAATTCATGCGACCCCTCAGCAAGATGGGAACTCAACTCTTCATTCATACTCACTTCCACTGTTACGGAACTCTAACTGGAAACCTCAATTCCTTCATCCCCTTCCATTATTTATTCAGTGGTTTGTAAAAATTTAGAGGCGTATATCATTTTCTCAAAGTCCACCTTGTCAGCAAGAGCGGATGGAGATGCAACAAACTTCTTGGGGTTTTGACTTTTATGGATGTGATGGGGACCAGAACCAGATAATGTAGGAGAGGGGATTGTGGGTGTGAGTGGGTAGAAATTGGGGATTTTGTGGATGAGATTGTTGGCTCAGATCCGGATGGAGGTGCCTCGTGAGATGGAGACAGAGCATGATTTTCTTTAGTGGCTTTGGAAGATACAATCTGTGGTGAAGTAATTTTCGATTTTGAGAGCAAGAAGACAAGAAGAAGAGGGTTTGGGAGAAGAGATTGTGTTCGATGTAGAAAGTGAGGAGAGAGATTGACTTTTGGGGTATATAAGGTGAAAGGGGGGACTGGTTACAAACTGGTGTGAGAGAAGAGACGGGTCATTGGGTTGATTTGTAACGGATGCAACATTTGGGATCAAAAGATATTAGAAAAGGTGGGGGCAATTAATTACGTGGCACTCTATCAGTTCAAAATGCATATAAGTGTAAGAGGAACTACTAACTTGAGTCATAGGAACTAGGTTCCTTGACAAATTTTGAAAATTTGAGCATCAACTTCCAAAAAATTTCAATGTCATTTGGCACTTGTTTGTCCTAAATTTGCCATGCATGTCTACCTGTAATGGTATAGAATTGAGATAGAAGTCCCAGAAAACACTTTTTAGCATTTTACCTTACTATGCTTTCATAGCCAATCATCGAGCGATCGGGTTCTCAGTTCAGCTTGATCAACCCAACTCCAGACGATTTCTTTCAAAATATTCTTTTCTCACTGCTTTGGTGAAGATATATGCTACCTGGTCCTCCGTTTTGCAAAACTTTATACATATGAGTCCTTTTTCAACATTATCTCTCAAGAAGCGGTATCGCACATCAATGTGATTTATCCTCTTATGTTGGACTGGGTTCTTTGCCATATTGAGAGCACTTGTGTTATCATATAATAATGGCACACGGTCTGAAAACACACCAAAATATTTTAGTTATTGCCTGATCCACCGTAGTTGGGCACAACAGGAAGCAATTGCCACATATTTAGCTTCTACATGAGGGCCACATGGTTTTGTTTCTTTGTACCCCATGAAATCAAGCATGACCCCATAAAATGTTCCATTCCAGATGTACTTTTTCTATCCACCAAATATCCAGCATAATCAGCATCAGCATACCCAATTAAGTCAAAGTTATTTCTTGACGGATAGTAGAGAACCAGGTCCTGTGTTCCCTTGAGATACCTCAAGATTCTCTTGGCAGCCTTCAAATGACTCTTTTGGACTTGATTGAAATCTAACACATAACCCAACACTAAACACAATGTTAGGTCTGTTGGATGTCAAGTATAGAAGAGATCTAATGATACCCCTATACATTGTTTCATTTACAGGGGAACCAGGTTCGTCCATGTATAGATGAGTAACAGTAGAAATGGGAGTACCAATAGTCTTTGCGATTTCCATTTCAAATCTTTTCAACAGCTCCTTGATGTACTTCTGTTAACTTATCATTGTACCTTTTGAGGTTTGCTTTACTTGTAGCCCAAGGAAGAAGTTTAGTCCCCCATCATGCTCATCTCAAATTCACTTCCCATGAGTTTTGCTAACTCTTCACAAAGGGAATCATTTGTTGCACTAAAAATGATGTCATCAACATTAACTTGCACAATCAGCAGGTTTCTCCCTCATTTCTTTAAAAATAGAGTATTGTCAATTTTCCTTCTAGTGAATCCATTCCCAAGAAGGAACATGGACAATCTACCATACCATGCACGAGGGGCATACTTCAATCCATATAAATCTTTGTCGAGCTTAAAGACATGTTCAGGATGTTCATGACATTCAAATCCAGTGCTGCTTGACAAAAACCTCTTTCTTCAAATATCCATTCAGAAATGCACTCATAACATCCATTTGGATCAATTTGGTTTCCATATGAGATGCAAATACAATGAGAATTCTTATGGCTTCCATTCTAGCAATAGGAGAAAAAGTTTCATAGTAGTCAATACCTTCTTCTTGATTGTAATCTTGAACCCCCAACCTAGCTTTATTTCTTGTTTTATTGCCAAACTCATCAAGTTTATTTCTGAACACCCACCAGGTTCCAATCTCTGTTCTATCTGAGGGCCGGGGAACCAGGTGCCACACTTTGTTCCTTTTAAACCGATGAAGCTCTTCTTGCATAGCAGTAATCCAGTCATCATCTTTCAATAATTCCTTAATATATTTTTGGCTCAATTTGAGACAAGAAAGTTGAGAAGGCAAACATATTTTTTGCCTTGGATCTAGTTTGAATACCATAGTCCAAAGGAGTGATCACATTTTGAAAAGGATGTGAACTCCAGTCCTTCCATTCAGACACCTAAACTTCAGAGTGTGAGGAACCAGGTTCTTCCATATTTGACCCATCATTGCCATCAACGGAAGTATGAATGCCACTTCTTTGTTCTGCATCAGGAGTACCTAATATAACATCAGCAACCCTATTGTCAACTTCAGTTGCGGTGATAGAGGGACTAGGTTCCTCTGTTTCAGCTGGAGATTCTGTTGTATCTTATTCACCTACCTCCTTCACTTGACTCATTTGGTCTATCTTCCCATTTGCTATATCTATGGCTTCTCCAGGGACTTTTGAGAAATCTTTGTCTTGATCATCCTTATCATGTGAATCCTTCCCACTTGAGTGGTGAGATTCATTGAAGATTACATTCACACTTTCCTCTACACATTGAGTTCTTTTTTTGTAGACTTTGTATGCCTTGCTTTGAGAGGAGTAACCAAGAAAACTTCCTTCATCACTTTTTGTATCAAATTTTCCCAATGCTTCCTTACCATTGTTGAGAACAAAGCATTTGCATCCAAACGCTCTTAGGTAAGTCAGCTTTGGTTTTCTCCCATTGAGCAGTTCACAAGGAGTCTTGTCAAGCAGGGACCTGATCATGCACCTATTAATCAAGTAGCAGACAGTGTTTACTGTTTCAGCCCAAAAGCTCTTTGGCACACCACTGTCAATCAGCATTGTTCTAGCCATATCATCGAGAGTTCTATTTTTCCTCTCCACAACACCAATTTGTTGAGGTGTTTTGGGAACAGAAAAATTATGACATACCATTTTCAGCACAGAATTCATCAAACTTGGCATTGTCAAATTCGGTGCCATGATCAGATCTGATAATAATATTATAGTCCATCATCAATTAAATCTTCTTCACAAAGGCAACAAAAACTGAAAAGGTTTCATCCTTGGTCCTCAAAAATAAAGTCTATGTGGATCTGGAATAGTCATCAACAATCACAAAGATGTACTTATTTCCTCCTCTGCTAGGTATCCTCATAGGTCCACACAGATCCATATGAAGAAGATCCAGTGGCTTTGAGGTGCTCATTTCCTTCTTTGGTTTGAATGAGGATCTGACTTGCTTCCCTTTCACACATGCATCACACACTTTGTGATCCTTGAACTTTGACTTCGGCAGCCCGCGAACCAGGTCCTTCTTGATCAGCTTGTTCAACAAAGAGAAACTTGCATGCCCTAGTCTTATGTGTCATAGCTCAGCACCATCATCAATGGCACTTAGGCGTGTAAGATCACCACCATTCAGAGAGTCAAATTCTGCAACATAGATGTTCCTGAACCTTTTTGCAATTAGAACCACTTCACCAATTATGAGATTGGTGAGAGTACAAGATTTTGACAAGAACTCCACTTTGTTTCCTTTGTCACAGATTTGAGAGAAACTCAACAGGCTGCATTCCAAGCCATTTACATAGTACACATTTTTAATTGAGTGGGAGAGTGTTTTGCCAATCTTTCCCACGCCCAGAATGTATCCCTTCTTGCCATTTTCAAAGGATACACTCCCACCTTGCAGGGCCTTGAGTGAGAGGAAATTATCCATTTTTCCAGTTATGTGTTTAGAGAAGCCACTATCCATGTACTATTTTTGACTGATTTCCCTCACTTCTGCCTGCACAAGAAAATCAAGGATTAGACTTAGGAACCCTAACGAGTTTGGGTCCCTTGTAATGATAGAATGGGTGAATCAAACTTCTTTTTATCCATGCAAGCATCATATATTTATTTTTCAGAGAACCAGGTTCCTTCGTAGTGGGTACTTTTTCAACAAAAACTTTGTTTTTCTGTTGGGACTCAAATTTGTCTTTACAAAAGTCCTTGTAATGACCAGTTTGACCACAATGAGTACGAAGCCACTTATCAGTCATAGTAACATACTTACTATGTGGGTTATAGGGAGCTTTAGCCGTATGAAACCCGATTACCTACATGTTCCCCCTATTACTTTTATACATAGAAGTGATTGTATCGGAGGTTTATCTAGATCAATTTTTAATCTTGCTTAATTCCTCCTGAAGTTGTCTATTCTTTTCAAGTTCAGTAACTAGACTTGATTTTACATTTTTTAGTTCACTTTCAAGCTTAAGTTGTCCTCACTTGCCACTTCTTTTCCCTTAGGGGTGTTCATCCACTTTTCCATTTGATTTTTCAACAGGGTGTTTTCTCTCGTTATTTCTTCCACTTGTTCTTTCATATCTACAATTACAACCACCAAATCATCTCTCTCTTATTCTACTTCTCTAATTTCCTTAGTTAAAGCATTTTTATCATTAATGAGGTTGTGATAAGCATCAATTAAAATATTTGCTAAAGATACCAGTTTCTTTTGAGAGTAAGTTTTTAAGTTTCTTTGAACATCAAAAATAATTACCGCATCATCATTATCTTTATCATCCTCATATTTTGCCATGAGTGCAACTATGGAATCATACTTTATAGACTCTCTCTCAACAGCTATCATGGAAGTGTCTTCTTGGTCATCATCACCTTCAGATTCACTAGAGGAATCTCCCCAGGCAGCCAGTGTTTGCTTTACAACATTGTTAGCGGCATCTCTTCTCTTGAACCTTCTGTCAGGGACCGGGTTCCTCTTGACTACCTTGTCAGCATTGTGTTTGTAGTGGTCCTGCTTGTGAAGAGGACACTCTTTGATGAAATGTCTTAGCTTTCTGCACTTGTGATAGCAATCATTTCCTTTGGTATTTCTCCTAGAGATGCCTCTCTTAGGAATTTATCCATTTTTATGAACCATTTTCTGGAATCTTCGAGTAAGATAGGCCATGTCTGTTTCATTACCACTTGAGTCACTGTTGTCCTCCTTTAGAACTAGGTTCTTCTCCTTTTTGGGCTCTCTTCTTTCAAGATCCTTCTTTTTCTTCATTTCATAGGTTTTCAGATTTCCAATGAGTTCATCAATGGTCAATTTCTGCAGATCCTTGGCTTTAGTGATAGCATTAACTTTACTCTCCCAGGAACCAGGTAACACACTGCGTATTTTCCTGAGCAGCTTGATTCTTGGGATGACTTCTCCAAGGGATTGAAGCTCATTGATGATGGAGGTAAAGCATGTGTGCATGTACCGATAGACTTATCCTCCTTCATCTTGAAAAGCTCATACTCAGTAGTAAACATGTCGATTTTTGACTGCTTGACCTAAGTGGTTCCCTCGTGTGCAGTTTGGAGAGCTTCTCAGATCTATTTGGCAGACTAATAGGCTGAGATGCAGTTGTATTCATCTGGTCCAATGCTACAAACAAGAATCTTCTTTGCCCTGAAGTTCCTCTCGATGGCCTGTCTATAGCATTGTTGTACTCTTTTCTTGTCTTTGGGACTGTAGATGTTCCCTCACCTATAGTTTTCATGGGAACAAAAGGACTATCACGGATCACATCTCATAGCTCGAAATCCTCAGCCATGATAAAGTCATGCATTCTTGTTTTTCACCAACTATAGTATTGGTCGTTGAATCTTCGTGGTTTATAGGTTAATTGCTCTTCTTTGAAGTTTGGTGGAGCAGCCATAAAAATTATTTCTAGGTGTTAACCTTTAAGAAAGAACCTGCTCTGATACCAATTGAAAGAAACTAAGGGTCTACCAAACTGTCTAGAGAACATGGTTCTTTATCAGTTCTCACAGTAAACAACAGTAAATAAAGAACACACAATATTTACGTGAAAATCTCCCAGCTCACGAGATTAAAAACCACGACCTACCCTAGTAGAATTTCAACTTCACTAACTGAGCAAACTTCATATTACAACCTATTATAATCTAGGAATTAAACTCTTAATCTCTCACCCTTACACCAACTATGTTGTAAGCCTATTTGTAATAACTCTATTACAAAGCTACACACTTGACTAACTCTAGTCGAAACAACCAAAACAATAATGGTTTAAAAGATGTCCTATTGAATGCTTCTGAAAAGTTGTTTAGGAATTACAAGTTAATAAAATAAGACAAATACACAACAATACTAAAGGACACAATACATAATCAATGTTGGGATCTGGTCCTTTATTTTGTAGCTGCTTTGTTCTTCAATGCACTTGATAAAACAAGGGCGGCTGCACACTTGAGAGGATGAATACTTAGGTTTGCAAGTGTTGAATGAAACCCTTGCCTCATGTTGATAATATATATGTGAGGTCATGAAAGATGATGCAAGAGAGTGTCCGGTCTCTAGCAAGTTTCAACAGTGTTGTTGTACTATTGTGAGTACAATGCAAAAGCTTAAATAATTGTAAAGTTGACTTGTACTAAGACCGGAGGAACTGATCTCATTTGTTCCCTCTGATGTTCCCTTATCTGATTTCCTTGAGAATTAAACCAAATATATAATAAGTTATAATAAGCCCAAGGGAACCAGATGTATCAGGTTCCTTATGTGGTTCTTCTATGAAGTTTGACAAATTATCAAAACTAAAATTGTATAACTTATCAAATATAAAATAACCCAGCGATGCAGCTGGGCCTTCAGCTAAGCTGGGAGCATTATATGGATGAGCAGGCCCATATTCCGATTCGATATGCTTCAGTTTTCAATACCAAAATTGGCCCAACAGTCAGGCCCAAACAATAAAACAACTACCTTGCTTACCCATTCGAATACCAAACTAGTCGTAACAATACAAGTGACAAACTATGTATTAAGCCACCCAAACAACTTCAAGACTTAGGCATTTTAGACCTTAATACTATAGCTAACAAAGAGTAGATATTTCCAAACAAAGGCATACAAACAAGGTTGCACAAAACCTCCTACAGACACCTATGGCACACATCGAAACAATTTCACAACGACATGTTTGAACATCACAGGATAGCAGAAGATGCGCGAAGCAAGAACTCAAAGCAAACATGGTCCAAAATAAATTTTAGTGAAACTTTAGACATAGGAGCCTTAACATGTGAATCTAGGAGAGACATGATTGTGAACTAACTC